CTGACACACACACACACACAGACACAAACGCACACACACAAACATAGACGTGTATGCACACAGCGAGGGGGCAAAACACAGAGATGACCTAGCCACGAGGGGTAAAACGAAAATACGTAAGGCCTGAGAAAAGTTGGCAAGTAGCGGGACATTTTGCAAACATGGACAGTACCGTGTAGGGATATTTTGCAAAGATGACAGGTCCAACGGGTGCCAGAGGCATTTCACAAAACATTTTTTGTGTCAGAGTTGTATTTGGATGTACCTGGATCTTTTAGGGATATTTTGACGTATAACTTGTAGGGGTATTTCGCAAATTGTCGCTAAAAGAAGGGAAAAAAAAAGAAAAAGAAAGGATAGGCCACAAAGATTACATTAATATAGCAGGTATTGTTCAGTGGCGGCCCACGACTAGCTCAGTTGGTAGGGCACGCACGTGGCATTCAGGAGGTCAGGAGGTCTTGGGTTCAATCCCGATAGCCCTCATGTACCTTCCTGGCCATGCTTGGCGCCAAGCAGTGTCTGCTGATGTTCATCATGGGGGGTGTAATCGGGGAGGCACAGCGACTGGCCACTCAGATATGATGCTCGGTCCCTCTGCTACCGGCTGCCCCCTGCCCAGTGTCCCCCCTGTGGGGGTACCTTGAAGGCAATAAGGCCACGCTGTCTGAAAAGGCCACCCGATGTCAGATTAGACACAAGATTGAATTTACCTGGGCTGGTTAGTCCGATGATAATACCTGAAGGTCATCCCCTACCTATGGTAGGTTGGGTGTGCCACATAACCTGGGGGAGCATGGGGGATGCGGTTGAGGCCAGTTGGGTACCAATGGGATTGTCCCAGCTGCCTGATGTGGCCTCCCCCCCCCCCACCCCCACCCCCACCCCACTGTTTTTTCTGATGTTTTTTTGTGAGCCTATTGAACAGTTTTTGGCTTGCCGGGCCCTCAAGAATAGAAAGGGGCTGTGTGTGTTCCGTGGAAAAAAAAAGTACACAGCCAGGATAGCTGCGTATACATGGATGCATTTTTTGCTTTTTTCCATTTGGGGACGTCATTTCCAGTGCACCGAGGCAGCTGCGTTGTCCAGCTGCATTCAGTCCGTTTGGGGAAATTTGTCGTCATTTCCAGTGCACCGAGGCAGCTGCGTTGACCAGCTGCATTCACAATGTTGTCGGATGGCGAGTCGTGCAGAGTCGTGCAACTAGGCCTAAAAAATAGGTGTAAGCGGGTATAAGCAGGTATAGGGTGTCGCGGTCGCTAACACGACACCTACCGGTCTTTCCGTGAGCCAACGTGGTGGCGGTCGCGGGGACGGTGGTGCGGTCCTTGGATGAATTGCGGGCTGCGCCGGGTTTCCAGTTCAGGAAGTTAGGAACGGGTTATCCAACCGTTCGTTACATTGGGAGACATTGGGGGATCGACGGAGGTGGTGTTACTCTCGGACTGTCGAAAATTTCTTCAGAAAAAAAAAACACAAGGAGAGAGCTGGATGCACTTGGCTGCCAATGTTGGTCTTGTCCGTTGTTGCAAGGCCCCGGATCTACATGCCCCGAAAGACAGTCGGTCGGGGTTATTTTTTACTGCCCACCGGAACCTCCCTCGGTTCAAGGCCAATTGCGAAAATTGCGAGTGCATCTATGCACGTTCTTGCACATAATACACCCATCATTTTCCACATTTGACGAGTAGTGGGACGATGGGTAGAGCCCCTCCGTGATCCGCCGAGCGCCACACGCAGAAGTTGCCCGCCTATCGTCCTTGCGCAGGGGCTATGCTATGCTAATCTTATCTGTATTCGTTTCTTCAAAAAAAAAAAAAACACAAGGCAAGAGCTGGATGCACCTGGCTGCCATTCTGTGTCTTTCTGCGGGCAGATTTGGCTGCATGCTTCGGCTTCGGACGCACGCACGGCTGGGTATGTGTACGCTGGGTCGTGAGAGGGAGGGTCTTTGGAGAGTGGAGAGCGAGAGTGTACAGGGAGAGTGAGAGTGTACAGGGAGAGCGTGCGGGGACGGGTGGCACATAACTGTATCCATGCTGTAGCATCTTGTATCCGCCCTCAATTTTTTATTATTATTATTATTATTTTTTTTTAACTATACTCTTCTCTCAATTTTCCTCACACTACCTACCTACCACTACTCCTACCTATAGGCATACGGGGAAACCCGTAGCATACCAGAGCTGTGTTTTTACGGCCCCTCGAGCCTGCAGGATACCGGCCAGGGGACGGCCGGTAGCACCAGGGATAAAGCGGACCAATCCCCCGTGCCTCCCCTCAGGCCCCTCCCCTACAGACATAGCAGACTCTGCTTGATGCCGATCGGGGGATCCAGTGGTCTATCTCTTGGGTAGCGGGTGCCAAGTAAGCCCAGGAAGGCATGAGGCCAATGGGGATTGAACCCATGACCTCCTGAATGCCACTTGCGAGCCTTACCAACTGAGCTAGGCCACTGGATTCCTCCCTCAATCATAGCATAAGGGAGCTTTTTTTTTTTTTTTTTTTTCCCCATGTGATTGTCCCCTAAAGGCCCTCACTGATGAGGGCAGAGTCACACTAGCACCTCATTGAATGTACCTGGCAGTTATCGTAGCGTTTGGGATGTTTGCTTTTCACAGGTAGAGAACAAAAGTGCGGCGAGGCACTCGTGGGCTGGTCACGGGTCCGCCGCCATCCTGGCTGCGCCCCCACGCCTGAGCGTGGTATCAGGGCCTCGTTCCACTACTCCGCCACAAACAGTGGCGAGACTTGGCGAGGCCAAAAACTGCATTTTTCTGGTGGAAAAAGGGTCTTGGTTCCATTACATCGCCGCCACGTGCGCTGTGGTTGCTGGCCCGGCCTGCTCCCCGGACTGTGGAGGATGGCGAGCTAATGGAAGGGTGGCCGCCTTCTCTTCACCATGTACTCGGACTGGAAATCACTCCAGGTGCAGCTAAAACTTGCCAACACTAGGGGACAACGCAGGTCGACTGTCAGGATGGCTGTGTCAGGCCCAATGGCCACACGAAGCATTTCGGGGAGGGGTGAGGAGTAGAGCCTCCACGAAGGGCCGTTGCGAAATGGAAAGCCTTTGCGGCACATCGCCAAGTGATTTCACGCCCAAATTCTGACAGCCTCCATTTCGTGGCTATTGGCGATGCAGTGGAACCAAGTCGCGTCCGCCATGCGTGGCGGATGGCGAGTAGTGGAACGAGGCCCTCAGTGTGTGTTCCGTGGAAAAAAAAAGTAAATCACATCGTTATGTCCAATCTGTGTGTATGTCGTCGAGAGTTCTGCGCAGATTCATTGAACATGTTGGTCCATAGCCGCTGCTGGCGCTCCGCATGGCGGGGCCTACCGCAGCCACTGCTGGTGCCTCTCTCCGCTGCTCAACATTCCATACGTATCTAGGACCAGGACCAATCAAACGTTACGAGCGTATCTGGACAAACCGGATGTCCAGACACGTTTAGAATGTTGTGCAGTGGAGCGAGCCCCTGAGTCGACAGGGGAGAAAATGGGCGGGAGCTTCTGCCATGCTCCTGGACCGTTGACCAGTTGTTAGAACTTAGAACGAAAGCCGTCCTCACTGCTCCAGCGCTCGGCTATGGCGGCCCTGGTATCGCAGCGGATCCCTGGTTTCGTTAGCGCCGGCGATGACGCCTCCCACTCAGTTGGAAGAGTAGTAGGCGCTTTGGCGCGGGGATTGGCTGCTGTCTAGGGGTTGCTCGTCGCTCACCCTCTTAGTGTGTAGTCACACATAGTCCCTGACTGCATTTGCCGCCGGAGCTGAATGCATCTGGCTGCAATCACCTCCAGAGCTGAGTCGATAAGCTTCTTGTGTGAGTTTGCCCTTAGTACTAGTACCTGGAACATTCCTCAGACCCTTGCAGAGCAATGGCCATGTTGATCGTGTTTCTCACTGGATACACGCCTGTTCTCTCTCTCCAATATTAGATCTGGGTCTAGGTCCCACTAGCAAAGTTGGATCGAATTAACAACCGGAATCTGGACACCTCCTTCGCCGAGATGCAGAAGAGCAGATCAATCACCGTGTTCTGCATCTGTCCTCAACAACGTCCAGATTCATGCACTAAAGCTAACCCTTTGTGCCAGTGGGACCTTGCCCCTGGTCGTTGCGATACGATCAAGAGAAGCTGGTTTATGGTTGAGCACGGCAGTGGAAAGCTCTTCGTGAGGTCTTGGGAGAAAGATAATGTAATGCGAAAACACAAGTGGGACTAACAGGAAGCCGAGAGTACTGCAACGAGAGAGAGAGAGAGAGAGAGAGAGAGAGAGAGAGAGAGAGAGAGAGAGAGAGAGAGAGAGAGAGAGCACGACTCCGGAAAGCTGTCAATGAAGTATTGAAGGTGGAGTAATGTAATGCCAAACCTTAAGTAGGCCTAACACGCACAGCCGGTACCGGAGAGGCGGCGGCAGACACATACACACACACTCTGTCACACACACACACACACACACACACACACACACACACACACACACACACACACACAGAGAGAGAGAGAGAGAGAGAGAGAGAGAGAGAGAGAGAGAGAGAGAGAGAGAGAGAGAGCACTGAACAATACGCACGTGAAAATGTTGAAGCGGCCAACGGTATGGTTGGTTACTGCGCTCAGCCTGGCCGTGTTAATTGTTCATTGGGCATATCGAGATCTGCCGGGATGGGATCCCCCCAATGTTCGTAAGCGGCTGCTCGCTGAAGACGAGGTAGAGCCGAAAGTCCCAAGTGAAACACGTACAGCGGCTGCTGCTCCTGCTGCTGACGATGGAGATGACGACAATGATCAATTTCCATACGTCATCCAATCCGAGATGCGAAGGAGGACGATATCCAAAACAGAAGATTCGGAGGAAGCTACGACTGAAGATTCAGAGGAAACTACTACTGAAGATACCGAGAAAACTGCAACTGAAGATTCTCATGAGACCACTGAAGATTCTGAAGATGCTGAAGAAACTAGCAGTGAAGATTCAGGGCAAACTTCTCCCGAAGATTCTTCAGCTCCTGAACATTCTACCGACTCGGATAAGCCAGTGACCGAGAACCGCGCGGAGTGGTTGGATCTGCCCTCGCCACGTGGCACAATACCATGACAGCGTGAGACGGAGGTAATCTCCACCCGGCCGCATCTCGACTCCAGCAATGCTTGGGGCGATGATGGGCCCGCGGAGAAGACTCCAGTGTCCTCTCAACCCGCCTCCACTGACCGGGGGTTGAAGGGGGAGTCTCAGAGTTCCCCCCCCGCGCCCCAGCTGCTGCTCTCGGGGGGAAATTCGTCGCTTGGTCCGATTGAGGACGAGAGTTGGTGGGAAGAGGAGAAAGGGGAGGTGGAGGGGTGCACGACCGCCTACGCTCTCAAGCCCTTTCTCGAACGACTGGCTGTGAACGGGACGATCGTCATCTGCACCATGAACTGGGGTTTTCGCGCGCTTTCCGTTAATTGGTTGATCTCGGTGGACAAATTAGGAATGTCGGACAACGTGCTGGTCTTCGCGGAGGACGTGGCTTCTTGGCGGCTGGTGGAGACGCGCTGGCCAGGCCATGCGGTGCTCCTGTGCCGCAGCGCGCCGAGCGGGAGCCGCCCATCTGATTCCGCGTCGGCCACAGCAGCGCGCAGCTCCAAGCCAGCGGGCGGGGTATCGAGCGATTTCCCGAGGGAGTTGGGCGTTCAGAACTGGAACTCGGAAGGGTACGGGAAGGTCGTGAGAGGGAGGCCTAATTACATCCTGGCCTGCTTACGTCACGGATACTCTGTGCTTTACTCTGACGTGGACACCATCTTCGTGAAGAACCCGATCCCATTCATCGCGGGACAAGCAGGAGGAGAAGGAGGAGGAGAAGGAGGAGGAGGAGAAGGAGGAGGAGGAGAAGGAGGAGGAGGAGGAGGAGGAGGAGGAGGAGAGGAGGGGGTGGAGGGGGAGAGAGACATGATAGGAAGGGGAGGGAGCATAGTTGGAGGGGATTCTTCTTCGCAGGCAAGGTCGTTGAGAGGAGGAGGAGGGGTGGTCGAGAAGCGTTGGGAGGGAGAGAAAGAGGAGGGGGGGACTGCGATGTAGATCGGGATCTTGATGGAGCTGGCGCTTGGGATGGTCCATTGCGTGATGAGATGTTTAATGGGCTTAATTGCCTTCCGCGTGCGTCGCGGTGGAAGGAATTGAACGTGTGCACGTATTTCCTCTCCTTCCGACCGACCCGGCTGTCGATGCACCTCATGCGCCAATGGATACGTCGAATGCGGTCACCCTCGGAGGGGTCATCCGGACTGGCCCGCCAGAATCAGCCGCCGTTGAGGAGATGAGGATGGAGAAGAAGAGAGCCAACGACTCCATTGATATTGACGTGGATTTCAGGTTCCGAATACYGCCGAACAAGTTTTTCCCATCCGGGCACACAATTAAGTTCCCCAAGGAGAAGGCGAAATGGGTAAGCTATGGAGGAGGAGATCCTTTGGTCTATCATGCCAATTATCGTCTTGGCCTGACCGAGAAGAGAGAATGTCTTCAGAACAACAGTCTCTGGTTCGTCAACGAGGCTCCTGATGGATCAGTGGAATGGCCGCAAATAAGCGGAGGATCCGGGTGAGGATGAATCTGAATCCTCTCTCGCCCTCTCTCTGTCTTCGTGGCAGCAAATGCACACACAATCCGCGTTAGGATAAACCCAAATCTCTCTCTCTCTCTCTCTCTCTCTCTCTCTCTCTCTCTCTCCCCCTCTTTGTGCATCAAATGCACAGATCAGCCGCTTTAGAATAAATTCAAATCTCTCTCTCTCTCTCCCCTCTCTCTCTCTCTGTGTAAGTGTGTGTGTGTGTGTTTGTGGCATCAAATGCACAGACAATACCTCTAGTCTCTCTCTCTCTCGCTCTCTCCTCTCCCTAATCCGCGTTAGGATCTCTCTCTCTCTCTCTCTTCTCTCCCTAATCCGCGTTAGGGTCTCTCTCTCTCTCTCTCTCTCTCTCTCTCTCTCTCTCTCTCTCTCTCTCTCTCTCTCTCTCTCTCTCTCT